GAAACCAGAACATATACCTTTAATATTTTTACTCCCTTCTGTGGCTGTCAATTACAATGGCTTGAATATTCTGTGAAACCTCAACTTCAGGACTTCTTGATCCTCCAAGACAGATATTTCTCTGTCAGGCTTCTGAGTGACAAGCGGATATTTCATCCCCAGGGAGTATTCCCTTAGCAGTAACCCAGGCATCCAGTGCATTTACCACGACTGCTTTTAGTGCATTTCCTCAGGTAGGGGAGCAAGGCAAGCAAAAAAGGAACCATGCAGCAGCATTTATCCTCCAAGACGTGTCTGGAGGCCTGACCTCCTGGCTTGGCCAGGCCTGGCCTGGCCAGCACTACCAGCTGTTCCAGCTGGAGACGTTCACCTGCTTAAATGTGCTACCAAAAGACTGCACATGCACGCATTAGGGAAGTGGTATAGATGTTGTTTGCATCTGGTAGTGCATAAAATATGGAAATGACCAGTGAGGTCTTTCTTTTTTACCTTGAACTCTGTGCCTTAGCTAGAGCCATGGGGAGCTCCACAGTCAGCAAAAGTCAATAGTTAAGGAGGAAATGGAAAACAGTTGGGAAGAAAATTGCAGGCAGTGGCTGGCAGTTTCCGTAGGTTTTGCCTGAGCAGCAGAGAGGGGTGCCATAAAAGAAAGGGGCCGACAAAGGCACCCAGGCCCCCTAGAAATGTTTTCAGGAGAGAAATGTCAGGACCTGGATCACCCGAAGATAGACCAGCCACCCGAGGGAGACCACTGCTGGTGGAGAGAGGTGTCCATTTAAGGGACTGTGTCATCCAGGCCACTCGCTTTCTCTGCTCTGGTGGATGGGCTGTAATCGGCTCTCCCCGGAGTCAAAGGGTGGGTTGTCCTCGGGCCCCCAGGGAGGGACCTATCAGGGGCAACCAGACTCCTGCCCAGATGTGCTTCCAAACACCCATCCCATCTCATGAAGAGCCAGCAGATAACGTACGCTCATGTTGTGTACGTGAGGTGTCCTGCCCTGCCCTTTTAGTTTTGGGGAAAGGAGTGTGATAAGCAAGAACTCAGATCTGTTGTCTTTCTGAAAAGCCGCCAGCAGCAGGTCCAATTTGCATAAGACCTGTCTGCAATGTGATGCTTCACTGACAGGTGTATGCCTGGTTTATGGAAATGCAGCATGCTTCGAGGACAGTTCAGAAGGATTTACAGGTGAACTGCAATAAAGACAGGTCACGGGACTGGCTGGAGCCACACACCAACACCAAAGCTGCCAGCTGAACAGTGAGGTACGGGGGTTAACCACACCAAGTGATGTTGTCACGTACGATGCTGTAATTCTTAATCCTGCAGAAAATAATGAATCGTTTCCTTCTCAGAAAAAAAAATTCAAAAGTGAATCTGGAAAACTCTCAATTAACTCTATTTTAATTTAGGGGGATTGGTTCTGTTATGCTGCTGTTTTCTTAAAAGGTAGTGAGTGTAGAGAGTCTGGAAATAGTATATTTGAGCTATTTTGGAATAACATGTGAAGGAAATTAAGCAGGGGAAAAAAAAGTCAGCTTTTTTGCATGCTATGTACCAGATATTCAACTTTAAACACCTGACAAGTTTTTAAGAGCGTTTAACCCAGTAAACTGCTTACTCTGAGCTTATCTGAAAGGGCAAAGGAAAAAAAAAAAAGAATAATCTTGAACATCGGCTTGCAGCATAGGTAGTGTTTTCAACATAAAGGTTTCACAAGATGTACTAATTTTACCGCTCTGGCAGGAAACTGAGGCTTTTGAATTTAATGAAGCATTTCTTTGAAGTCACGCTAAAATGATGAGTGTGACTGTGTTGCACATCTGCCTGTCTGCACAGGGCAGACCATTTCGACTTCCTTTTCCGAGACACTGCCAGGAGCAGGCCAAGAGAGTTACGTATTTACCAAAACTTCATCAAGCAAAGATGGAAAAAAGGTGGCTCTTCTCCCTCTTTTGTTTGCTCTTGGTGCCCAGCGTTGCAGGTAAGCGTGTCAGCAGGACGCCTTGACTCAGCTTATGATGGAGGGTGGCGAGGGGCAGGGTGGCATGTGCAGAGGGAGGTTGGTGTGTCTCATTAGGGCAAGCTGTAGCTACTGGTAATGATTTTCGGTTTCCTGACAACTTTCTAATAACCCTAGTTATAATGTGCAGCTAGTAAGGAGTAAATGTCTTGTGCTGTCTAGCAGATTAGTTTATTCAAAATGCCTAACCTGTTTTCACCAGAATAATCACTGAGATGAGCTCACTTCTATTTAGGGCAACATGTGCTTGTCTCCAATGGGCAAAAAGGAAAACTGCTTCCAAATAGCAAATAAAAAATACCTATCTCTCTCTCGCATGCACACATACCTATGCATGCAGAGAGAGGAAGAGTTGAAACACTTAAAGGCAAGGATAAATTGTACAGCTGCAATCCCTTAAATAGATTCTTTCCTTCCTCTTCCCCACCCAGCCCTACGTGCTGTGTTAAAGGCTTGAGAAACAAGTTTGTCATTGGGAGTAAAACTTTCAGAAAAGTTGAGTAAGGAGAACTCCATCCCCATCAAAGGGAGTTTAAACCAAAAACGATCCAATGAAAACCAAGAAAAAGCCTGATGCTCACAACTCCCTCCACCCCCACCCCCCCAACAGACTGACCGTGCTGAATGCAGGAGTATTTATTACAGCTAGGAAGAAGAATTTTGTAGGATACACCTTTTTCCAGTTAAGAAAGGAAAAAGTTCATGTATTTGACTGGCATGGTAAGATGCATCTCAAAATCTGGCATAGGCTGTTCCTGTTTTCTACATCACTGTGGCAAACTGGATTTTAAAAGAAAGGAAATTATTTCATACGTGTATTCATAGAAAAGAAAAGTTCTCAAATGCAAAGAAAGAACTAGAAGCCTCAAGACATGCACATGCAGGAAAGCAATACTATTTTGGGAAAAATAGGACTGTTGGTTTTTTTTCCCCTGAGGATGAAATCCTCACTGAAGTCACTCAAAGGTGAAAGTGGACACCATCATGCCATTTGTGGAGGTCAGACATCTAAATGTCTGGGAGTTACTCTATGAAGTTTCAAATGGAGCACAAGTATGGGCTAATGGACAGCATTTGATTTGGAAAAATAAAGTTGGCATAAAATGAGACTAATTATATTGAGATGCTAACAAAAAGAACACTTTTGCATGAAAGGGTTTCAGTTAAAATAACCTAAAGTGCTAAGCTACTAACAAACAACACAAACTAAAATGTCATTTCTACATATGTAACTTTTTCATCTTAATATAAAATATTCAAGTAATTCTTGGTAGGCATTCTTTACATGGTCTTTTAACCTAATACAGCATCAGTATGAATATAAGAGAGAACTTGCTGGGTGTCCCTTGCCTGCTAGTCTGATCACAAGATTGTTAATCACTTTTTACTTAACTTTTACTGATGCAAAACTTGCAGTGAAACCAGCAAGCATTTGCTATAATAAGCTCCTTGGACTGACAAAAATAGTTTTCAGTAATTTTTCTCACAGCACTTGTCACTCAGGCTTATTTTTATTTACCCTTTTACATCATTCTGTCTCTTGGAAGTCAATTAAAAGATGAACAGAGCATGCACAGCAATAAAAAACCAAAGATTAGTGTTGGCCATGGCCATTCAGTAGCTTTGTTCTCCATGCACCTAGTCTCTATGTGTTCATGTCACACTTCAGTGGTTAGGTACCAAATCTCAGCCAGCTCTGCGGCAATGTGGGACTCTGCCCTTGTTCTTCTTCCCTGTCAAACCGGAGCTGCAGGTGCACCAGGTCTCTGTCTCACTCACGGCTGAGCTGGCAGAGCCCAGGGCACGCCATCCCCCCTGCGGGTACCATCAAGGCTGCCTGGCCCTTGGCAGGGCATCCCCTGGCTCAGGCGCCCCAGACCCCTGTACCACACAGCAGAGCAGATGTCAAAGCAAAGAAATTGATACCAATTTTTTTCAAGTAAAGAACGTGAGCAGTGTGCACTTGCTGCTGTAGGGAGTCAGCAGTGTGGCTGGTGGAACTGTGGGGCAAGCTCCCAAAGCAAATTTACAGTGATGTTTTGATACACAGGGAGGATAAAATCCAATGGAGATGGGGGCGACAAGTCCGTACCTAAGAACATCTGCACAAACTCATTTTTTTCTGGGGACCTGCATGCCCTTTTGAAACAGGGCCTTTTTGTGCATGGCTCTGTGGGTGTGACTAATTACTTGTCTCACTACGACTCCCCCACCCATAAATTCTTCATCTCCTTGAGTTTGTCAGTGCCCTGCATACCGGGCATGGGGACTGTGAGCCTCCTGTTCATAGGAGGGAGAAAGGGAGATAAATCAATTTTACTACAGCAGCAGCAAAACCAAGTAGTACAGGCTCACACTGAAAGCCCCTTCATTTCACCGATCCATTACTCCTTTATATGGCACACTAAGGACTGCCAACATGCTTTATGAAATTAATTGAGGAAGAAACCATACCTACTGGGGCAGCTCGCTCTGACACTGAAACAGACACTTGTTTAGGCCATGCAGGAGCTGTTTAATAATATGGAGGTAAAAGAATAGCTGTCTCTGTTGAAGCAGCAAAGGCAATGGCAGTGGGCAGGGGAAACAGTGCGGGGCAGAATTAGCCAGCAGGGATAACTCATTTGTTCTTGCAAAAAGAGCTGGGGAATAAGTGGGCCCAGCTTCTGCTTTATTTATAACACTTGCAAGATTTCCATTTTCACAGAGGCCCTCTGAGTTCCCATTTCTCTCCTGCGAGCGCAACAGGAGCTCCCCACCCTCTTCCAGACAAGTGTGCATTTGCTCTCCTGGTTGTCTCTCCGCAGTTTGTACTGGTAGAGATCTGCTGTAAAACTCCTTGCTGGAAAGCCTGTTGTCACAGTTGTAGGGTCTTTGTGGTTGTCTATGGCTAAGGCACCAAAGCATGTCAAAGACGGCTTAGGATAAAACTTTGTTTAGACATTACTTGCACTGAAAAAGGTCTCATTTGTTTTTAAGGCCAGCCTGAAGACGTCATTACACAAACAGAAGTGGTCCGCGCTTTGCCGGGTACTGACGTGACCCTGGCGTGCAGCTTCCCAAAACCACACACCACCTACGTAATACAGACCCAGTGGTCCAAGACTGATGACGCCCAGCTTACCAGAATAGCTGTTTATCACCCCGTTTTTGGCACCCATTACTTCACATTTCCTGAGGCTTCTTACAACTTTTCGGTGTCCTTCAGCACAAGGAAGTGCTGCAACTGGGATGCTACAGAGGCTTTGTGTTCCCCCAATCCAAACGTCACATCTGAGTGCAATCGGTGGGCTCTGCATCTGAAAAACGTTACCGTCTCCCTTAGCGGGCAGTACGAGTGCAGTTTTGCTACTTACCCATATGGGGCAAAGGCTGCAAAAATTCAACTTATTGTCAAGGCAGAAGGTAAGTGATTACAAATGAGATGTTGCTTTTTTGTAACAGGGGTGACAGGGGGTGGAATATCAGGATAGATGGCCATTTCTTGGTCAGGGATGGTGACTCATTTGGGGTTTGCAATGGCTCCACTGAACGCCTCTGTCTACACAGTTTCCTACTTACCAGGCACTCTTTAGCTGGATAACCAGCAGCAGATTAGGAAACCTTATTTGTTTGGAGGAATAGGAAATTAGATAGCAAGGAAAAAAGGTGGTGATGTGGGCAGTTTCCACATTTTCGTTTTGGAGAAACATGATGCAGAAAAGACTGGGGAGCGGCTCAGGATATGGTGGGGCTGAGGATGCTGGATCGCCAAACCACACTGTGCTGCTGCTATGGGCGTGCAGCACTGGGCACATGAAAAAGAAAACACCCCTGTCTGGTCGAGGCTGAGGGCTGGCATCTTCAGGGTGTGCTGGGTGTTAGCTCAACAGAGGGATGTGTGTCCCCACCGTCAAAAACAAACTGGAGCAAAGTGAGGGATTGCTTAGGATGATCACAGGAACAGAGACTTGGCTGCTTCTGTCAGCCAAAAGGAAGCTGGAAAGCAGCATGACTGCTCTTGGTAAGTAAGCCTCAGGGGAGACTGTGAACTCCAGGGAGGATATTTAAATTATCCTGGCAAAGGAACAAATGGGTTTAAATAGGATGTGAATGGATTTGACTACAAATTAAACAACAGTGGCAACCATTAGTGTGGCAACTTTGGGAACAGCTGTTTAATGCCAGCAGTGAGGGCAAAAGTCCAAACTGCCATGAAGATGGAGCTGGGCAGGGATGTTGGGCAAGCTGGGCAAGCTTGTTGTTGTGCGCATGGGGGACTGGATTTGATGATCCCAGAAACCTCTTCCTGACCCAGGTTTCTCTTAACAAGCCAAGAAGAATTAAAGTAAATGCAACAAACCTGGCACGGTTTCAGTTCAGAGCTGCAAGGCCAGCGTGCTCACCCTGATTGTGTCCAGGGCTGTAGATGCAGCACGTGTTCAAGGGTTAGAAGCGGGGTGGGTGCAGGTGATGTAAGGGGTAGCAGAGGGCAGCAGAGCACTGGGGCAGCAGCATTCATGGGCACAGAGCTCCCAGTGCCTCTTTGGCCTGCGTCGTGAGGCCAGACCAGTGGCAGGAGAGACATTGGTCCTCATGCCGGATCACATTGGTCCTGCAGCAGAAGGAGCCTTGACTCCATGGGGTCAGGGACAGGGCACGGCTCCTCAGCAGCTGCAGCAGTGGCCTCCCTCTGAAGCAGGCTGGCAACTCCAAACAATCAAACTCTGGGTCCTGTGCAAGCCTCATATGCAGGGATGTTTAACCCAAGCTGCCGCCTCACTCCCTGATGGCCCCTGCATGGCAGTGGCTCCAAGCATTTCAGTGATCTTATCCCAGAGTCACAGCTCAGGGGCGACCCAGTGGTACCTTCCTGCCCTGTTGAACTTGTTGAGGCAAAATTAGAGCCAGCATCTCTGCATGTCCCATAGAGGATGGGTGTGTTTAAACAGTACATGCTGGATAATTGTGTCAAGGATGAAGCTGCCGCTTTACCTGCTGTACAGGGGTGTGCTGCAGCAGTCTCCCCTTTGGGGATTTTCCTGCACTTCACAGGGCAGAGGGGCTGGATCAAGCAGAGAGCAGTGAGGTATGAACAGTGCTGGTAACCGTGTGAAACCCTCCCATGCTTCTGTTCTTCATGTGATTTTTCTCTGTCTCTAATATAGTAATAGTGTTAATCAGGCATTGCTCCTTTTCTCTTGCTGGTGCCCTTGATTGATACTAGCATGTTCAATGCCATTATTGCTGTCTACATGTTAAACGTGGGCAGCTCTTGTTCATATCAGCATCGTTGTGGCTTTTTTCAGCAACTGCATGATGTAGCAAGCTGTGCTACTGATGACTGCTTGCTAGAGAGCACTAAAAAGTTCAGTTTGCAACATAGCTGTTGCAGATTTGTATTTTAAGGTAACCAGATCTTTCGCAATGAACCACTTCCACTCCAAAAAAGGCAAAAGACCTTAATCCTGCCTACAAGTGGGATGGAGAAGGGTGATAGTCATTAATGAAGTACAGCTTGCAACTACATCAAAGTGACATGAATCCCGATGGATTCCACTTGTAGATACTGCAAAAAGCCCGCAGAGCAGCAGGCCTACATAGGACTGACAAACACAGGGGACCGTAGCCAAAAGGCTGTTAATGGAGATGGGAATCAAAGATGGGGGGGAAATAAACAGCTGGAACATGTGACTGTGAGAACAGGCAGAGGCTGTTTGCAGACTGAGCTCCTGGGGCAACTACTCATCTTCATACTTCTCGTACGCTGCACGGCACTTTTGCATGGTAGCTTGTCCCAGCAAAGTCTCCTGTGCAGTTTTCTTCCTGGGGAAGCTATAGATTTGCTTCCTTTGCCCTTTCTTTATCCTTCCTGCACTATCCAGGCCCTTGAGGGCTTGTGCAGTCTGTGTCCCACTGTGGTAGCTGACTCCTCAGCTGCTTTGCTCTGGTGGAGAGCGGAGATGAGCTGCTTCTGCCGCTGGATCTCCTGGGCACCACTCTGGGCTCTGTCTTTCTTCACGTCCCTGTGTCACAGGCTGCGTGCTGGCACTGTCACTCTGTGCTTAGGTGCCAGACATAAAGGAAGTTACAGTCACCAGAAAGTCCCCACTGCCAAATAATCTAACAGTCTGGTTCTGCTAGATATTCTCCCTCCCCTCAAGATAAAAAACAAATAAAATATATATCTATTCTATCTCAACACGCAAGCCAGAGTTACCAGGGGAGCAAAGTTCAAGAGTTTCCCTGCAGCGTGGGCTCGTGCCTGCCCACAAGGAAGAGGGAAGGCATGTCTGTGCGGTACAGCGGCAGCAGGCAGGCTGCAGCAGGGAGGCTGGCCGACACAGCAGGCTGCACGGCACTACCGCCCGCCGCCAGGCTGAGGGTCGGAGAGATGAGCGCTCACCAAAGCGCTCGTAGCATCCCCTGGCCATCACCGCTGCTCTTCCTGTTTAAATGCACACATGCATGCAGACGCGAAGTTTGGACCACAGCTGTGCTCTGTTCGGTGCATCGCTCTGCCCTTCCACGGGTGGGCTGGAGCCCTGGACTGGGAATGGGTAGGGTGGGAGATGCTGAAATGTTTTTTTAAATAGATGACAAAGGAAAGAGTAAGAAGTTCTCTGCTTCTGGTAGCGGGCAGGTTGGAGAATAATGAAAGGAGCACTTAAACTGAAAAACAGGGTTAATCTTAACCTGCCTGACATGCTGAACACCTTGCTTAGTGAAAAGTAGGTCTGTGGCTATCTTCAGAGAAAAGGAAATACAGATGAACAAAATTGACATGAAGGTTTATTGCTGCAGAAACAAATTGTAAGAGAAAAATTGAAGCTTCAAATTATTCTCAGCTCCAAAAGGAGACATCTTGATCCTGCAGTTAAGCAAAGGTTTTTATTAATTGCCCAAAAACTTGGGTAAAGCCATGAATTAGTGTCATGAAACTACATCTAGAATCAGATGCAGGGCTTTCACTTAACAAATGTGTCTATGGGTAATGGCTGAAAATTACAGTTCCCTTCTAATCAAAAAAGTGCCTGCTCCTTGAACAGAAGACTAGTCAGCATTGGTTTTTAAAGCACCATGAACACCATGTTTCTGATTTTCCTTCTTGGGCTTTTTTTGTTGCTGTTGTTGTTGCAATAACAAAAGAGGAGCAGCACTACGTGAAGGAAGTGCAGTTAAACCAGACTTTAGAAATTCCATGCCTTGAGGACATGACCTCAGAAAATTTGTCCAGTTATCCTTTGAAATGGCTAGTGGTAAGTATTTTTCATCTCAGGTATAAATTTCAGAAGGAACTACAGGGTATTTTTGCAGATTGAAACAGAAATGTTTGTTAGACTTTACTGTGTCTTGCAGAATCTGCTAAACAAAAGGTATCGGTCGCGTTGGACTGTGATAGTAAAGGGAGAAAGTACAAACATGGTTTTGCAACATAGACACTACAAACAATAGCTGTTAAAGAAACAAAGAAGGAAAATTCCATCTTAATTGCTTTTAATTTTTTCAGGAGTACATGTAGAGCAGGTCTGTGGAAAGTGGCAAAGGACTTAGCAAATGTAACATAACTAAAATATTCCTTGCGTTGGATTTCTCAGGGATTTTTGCTGTGGTGAAGCTTTAGTACCTCTGAAAAATACACGGTTACTGTGTAGGGTAGTGAGATATCAGGCTGCTTTGAAATATAAAAAAAAAAAGGGCTGACTAATGTTTTTGTTAACCTCTGTGTCACAGATGCACGCCGAAGACATGCAAACCCAGTTATCTAGCAAACCACATAAAAACTATTTTTAAGCTATTTGCTGTGAGATATAAAGCTCGTTATATTTTTGTACTGCATCTCACTTTCTGGATAAATATTTGTATGCGTGTTTTAATGTAACCTTTTAGCATTAATTTCAGTATGTAGAGATAAGTATCAGCCAGCAGTGTACTGGAGCTTTGCCTGTTAATTTCTATCTATTGCCACTGAGGAGCTGTAACTGTTGAGGGTTTTCTTAAAGGTGATTTTAAAATATTTTAGATTTTTTAGTCTTTTGTCCCAGCTCATTATCTATTTAGATGTCCCCTTTGCAGTACATTCTTAATATTAAAATTCTTAAAATTTTTGTAGGTAATATCCTTGCCCTTACTACTTTTTAGTGTTGCTAGTTCACTTTACAAAGCAGCAGAGGAAGGGGAAAAAAAACCCCAAAGGTCAGCGCAATGACATATGTGGGTCACCATGCATCATTCAGAGTATAGCTTGCAAATATGTACCGAGGCACAGATGTCCAGGATGTGCCAGCTGCATCTATATCGAGGGGTGGCTGGCACACAGGCGTTAAGAGGAGATGACTTTTAGCTATTATTATCAGCTTCTCACTATTTGAAATCTAGAAGAGCAAGGATTTTCTTGGAATTTCAGTCATATTTAATATGTATGGGATGCTCAACGTAACTTAAAGATTGCTGCAGTGAGAAAGCAGCTCTGTTGCCCTCTCTGCGGGCTACAGAGATCAGGACCCACAAGACACAGCTATTTACTCCATAGTTTATTGGAAAGATGATGACTGCTATTGGTTTTGAAGTTCTGGGAGAGAATGTATTTGTGGAAAAAAAATAGATGTTGCAAATGTCTGCTTACTACTCCACAATGCTAGGGGTGCAAGGGCTTCACTTCATAGTGGGAATAGAGCTGGTCTACAAAAATGTTTGCGGGGGGGGGGGGGAGGGTGTGGGGGGGGGGGGGGGGGGGGTGTCTGGTCTTCACACATTGTGTGGGTTGCTCTTTTCACAGGGGGAAAATGGCAGGAAAGAGGAACTTGTGACCAAGGAGCCCTCCTGTCCTGCAGTGTACAGGAATGGCAGCACGCTGTACAGGCAAAGAGTCCACCTGGTTTTGAATAACGCTCTAAAGATTTTCCCCACCAGAATCACAGATGATGGCAGAGTGTTTTCCTGCCATGTGGTGTACCACCCAGAGAGAGTCCAGAAGAGCAGCACCACCGTGAGAGTATTTGGTAAGGGGCTTATGCCAACTGCCCACTTACTTGTACTTGGAAAGGTAACACTCCTGTCTGCTTCTGAAGGCAATAGCTTTTGAAATACACGGGGGGTTTTTTATATACACATATTTACATTGTATTTTTTTCAGCTGCAATGGGTTAAAATGTTAGTAAACAACCCCATAGTTCTTAGGAAGAATTTGAGGCCATTCTTTCAATTTCTGGCATCAAAAATAGTAGATCCATTGCGCGTATATCAACACCACTGGCATGCACATTGCCACTGTCTCACCCCGATGTGTAAGCTTATGTTGGCACTTTGCGGGTTACAGGTAAGCACCTTGGCCATCAAGATCTCCGTGCCCCAGTTAGTTACAAAATGACCATGCTGCCTGTGGTTAGGAAATCATGGCCAAAATTTAGTAAGCAGCTAAAGTGGTTTGGAACTACTGTTGCTGCAAAGTCACATCCTCAAAGGCATGTGATGTTCACCCGCTGCCAAAGGCTCTGGTTCTGAAAATGAGGTCCTGCCTGGGGGTCTCAAACTGGTCAGGAGTGGCAGGGCCCGTGTACCGCAAACATGTGGGCTGGCATTTCATGCTGGAAGCCTTCCCCATCTTTAGTTACCTGATCTGTTCTCTTTCTAGTGGCTTAGGAACTACTCTACAATTGCTGAGGTACAACCGAATCAGAGCAATGCTGCCCACGGAAAACTGAGATGTATTTACTGCTTATAGAGCAGTGGGTCTGGAAAACACATTTCCAACACTCCTAAAATGAATAGGTGTTAAACAGTGGGTCTGTCAACAGTCCCTTGACTGTAGCTGCTTGCCTGAGGTAGCCCATGGCTTGGGGACGGCATGGCCATGTGAGGCTCATGCTCTGAATGCAAAGAAAGATTCAACAGAGAGCAGAAAAAAAAAAAAAAAAAAAAAAAGCAAAACCTGTGTCTGGGGGCTGTTGGTCACTGACACAAGAGAAATAAAAATAGAAGTTAATGATCTGAAATTTCCTTTTGCATTTGCATGATTCAGACATGGGTTTTACTTTTAAAAATCAACATTTGTCAAATAGCTACAGTGTTACCTGGGTAGTCATTCAAGTATACTAATATACTTGAACTCTCCCTCCCCTCCGTCCCTGCTGATGCTCTCGCCTTGGTTTGTGTATCTGTTAGCCTAAGAGGTTGCTTTATTTAGCTTATTCTCTGAATTACTGTGTCACGTGTGGTTGTCTGTGCATGCACCCACATCAGCATATTAGTACGACAGGGGAGAGAGGCAGACAAGAGAAAGCAACTATGGCCCTTGATGGTGACCAGTCTGTGATGCTCCCAGTAAGTGCTGCCTGGCTTTGGACCAGGTCCTGTGCCATCAGCCTCTCTCGCAGGTGTCCTGAGGGCACGGTTAGGTGGAGGGGCTCCCTGAGAGCTGGTTTGTGGTGGATGCTGAGGAAGGTCTCTCAGACCTCAGGCCGATAGAGTCCAGATCTTGGAGGAAGCACATTTTTGTGCTCTTAGCCCTTTCATGTCTGATATTTTGCAGGTAAAATAACTATTTTTCATGCTGTCTCACTCCTGTCTGTTACCATTCGCTGAAGTCATGCTGCTTATGATTGCATCATACCAGCTTTTCTCCATTTGCCTCTCTTGTGCTGCAGGGGGAGGGGAGACCAAGAGCAGATGGTCCAGAGCTGCCCCTGCGCCAGCCCACACGCCCATGCACTGGCAGGGCAGGAGCTGGCAGAGAACAGGCAGAGACAGTGGCCAGAATAATCCAGCAATCTCCAGCTGACATTTGGAGACAGACAAACAGCCACTTCAGATGACAGCACCTCTCTTGTTCCTTGTTCCATGAAAAAATGAACATTTATGTCCTAGCAGGTAGACCCAACCTCAAATGGCCAGGGCAGGATCTAAAGCATGATAGTAAGCATATACAATGTCAACAGCACATTATATTGGTCATATCTGTCATCCTGGCCATTAGAAAGGACGCAGCTAGAGAACCAAGGCCAACTGAAACCTGGGGAGATTTTCCCATCTCAGCAAGCCAGCATCCCCCCTGTCACCCAAATACTTGTGCAATTGATCCCCACGGGCTGGGTAGCAATGAAAGAAGGGCAGGGAGGGCAGTCAGCTAGTGCACCACGGTGCTGTAGTGGGCAGGAGGAGGATGAGGAGAGGAAGGTACTGTCACCTGGGGAAAGCTCCCTGTCAGGATCCCTCTGATAAATGCTTCAGGGCTAAACACAGCAGAGACAGCCCAAGTCTGAGGGGCAGCAGTGGTGCTTCCCCACAGATGCTTTAGATGGCCTGAGTATGACTGTGAGCTGGGCAGGAGAGGATGGGGAAGGCATGAACAAGTCTCTCAATGAAGTTGAGAGTCTTGATAGGTTGATTAAAAACGGACATTCAGTCGAGAGAGCTTTTTTTAAGAGGGTACTTTTGGACTGAAATGCTTTAAAATATTTCTTTTCTAGAACAGAGTTCTTTTAGATACAAGTTTCTGAGAAAATGTATGGCCTTTTCATGTCTAACTTTGCCAAATATTGATTTCTCCTTTTTGTAAGAGTAAAAGCTCAGCAGCAGAAACTACTATACTAAATATTGAATTTCTGCTAGACCCAAAACATTGGTAAATATCCTAGCAAGACAAATGAATGTCAAACTCTTAACAGGGGCTGAGATGTTAAATGGAAAAGATCTATTAGATCATTCAAAGCTGTGCTTGAGAGCTGCCTGCCAGACTAGTTACCCAGCAAACATGTCTTCTGAGAAAGCAGAGGACAACATCCAATACAGATGTGGAAAAGCATACCCGTTCTCATCAAAAAACAAAAGGAAGAGCAGGCACTGGACTAGACGTTATTTAGTCTCCCAGCCAACTTTTAGCTGAGATTAGAAGATCAAGTTTCCCAGACTTTTTCTTACACCTGAAGAAGTATGGTTGTCTTCTGCCAGCCCCACCACCATCTGTATAGTTTTGGCAAGGCAGAAACAAGGATGAAATCTTAAGACATTCATTTTCTGATAGGAAGAATCCACAAAAAAAAAGGAAATTCCACCCAAAAAGTACCCTAAGTCCAGAAAACCATGAGGCCATAATAATTAAATATAGGTCACTGCCAGGCATAATCCATTAGTAATACTAGGCAGAAAAATGGGAATTAAAAAAAAGAAGGCAGGAGAGTCCTTGGTGGATTCGCTGTATAAAACAACAGGGAAACTTGAGCAGTTCAGCTCAAAGGTAGGCAGCAGCAGCCCCTGCCTGCCACACAGCCCCCCTGGGGACAGGGAGGAGCAGGTGCTGTGGGAGCAGTGCTTGGGGCACCAACATGGTCTAGTGTGTGGATGGAAAGGTGATGATCTTGTCAGGCGTAATGAACTGAGGTGACCCTATATCAATTAACAGGGTTAGAAAAAAAAAGAAAAGAAAATTATCTTAATGGTAGAGATTAAAGTGAGGTTTAGGTTGGAAAGAGAAAGAATTACCCTCCTAAGTAATCCAGGGGCTGCACTTGTTTCCAGACCAGTTTTAAGGTTCAGAAAGGACCAGAAGCACAATTTATCCAAGGCTTTTGAGATTTGATGTATATTAGCACAGTTTCAACAGTCCTTACTTAACAAGTTAGTTAATATTACTGCAAACCAGCGATCCCAATGGCTAATTTAGAAATGCCAATTTAGAGAGTCTCACGGTACCTGATAGCTTTTACCTATACAGTCAGGCGTGCCTAGAACCAAAATGCTGCAAAAACAAAAGAAAACACTTTTTCCATTTCTTGTGGATGTGGTCATCAGAGGCCCACTGCTCTGATGTGAAGGTGAGCTCTGGGCTTCCCAGCAAGGCAGGAAGCATCTGTGGTGTGACACTGTCACACATCTGCCCAGGCAACAGCACGTGGATAGCTGGTACCCAAAATCAATCAACGTTTTCAGGGGTGGCTAAAGCCTTTGCAGATGATTTTGATGGGCAAACACCCAGAGGAACCAACAGCTTGGGAGTTCTTTATTTCAGCAGGCCTGGGAAGGGTGGTTTTGCTGCCGGAGCCATGACTGCAGGATGGTTTGAGCTCACTTCTCCAGCAAAGCCACTCAAGAGTAGTTTAGACAGACAGTGAAATACATCACGGATTTTGTGGTAGTAGCTGCTGGTATATGCTTGTAAACCACTTCCTTGACCTCAGATTGGAGCTGTGCAAGCTTTTATCTTGCTAGGTGTGTGGGTGGATGTAGGATTTAATTTTCACTCTTTTTATGAAACAAGGCTGTTAAGGCTCATTAGAAGCTGTTACTGTGACCTTTGGTATCCATTTCACTAATACATTTCTGTTTGCTTTCCAGCCTACCCTGAGATCTCTGTTAGCCTGCAGGAGGGCTCAGCTGGCACCTCGCAGAAGGTGAGCGATTTTGGAGCAGAGTAATGCCCATGACTATCACCATGCCACCCCAGCAGGGCCAGGCAGGCTAAGCTGAATCAGACATAGGCGGGACCTCCGAACTGACCGAGCTCACAGGGCGACAAGAGAGTCAATGAGTTAATGTCAGATGTTTGTATCCTTTCTTCTGAGCAATTTCCATCCCTGCAGCAGCAAGCTGCTTCAGTGATCACAAACTGGAGCTAGCTAAGGGCTTCTCCATGGTATGGGCAAAATCTGATTTTGCGTTAGCCCTAGGGAAGGCTCCAGGACAGGGTCGAGAGGCTGTGAGGAGTCGGTGGTGTTGCAGGGGGCTGCGATGCTCCCTTTCCCTCCCCATCTGCTCCCTCATCCCTTGAGCTGCCCTCTCCACACTGCATAAAATCCCTCTCTGAAGAAGGCCACCCACTACCCGGGATGCTGCTCCGAGGGGGTAGGCAGCGGCAGCCCCTGCCTGCCACACAGCCCCCCTGGGGACAGGGAGGAGCAGGTGCTGTGGGAGCAGTGCTTGGGGCACCAACATTCTGATTTTGCGTTAGCCCTAGGGAAGGCTCCAGGACAGGGTCGAGAGGCTGTGAGGAGTCGGTGGTGTTGCAGGGGGCTGCGATGCTCCCTTTCCCTCCCCATCTGCTCCCTCATCCCTTGAGCTGCCCTCTCCACACTGCATAAAATCCCTCTCTGAAGAAGGCCACCCACTACCCGGGATGCTGCTCCGAGGGGGTAGGCAGCGGCAGCCTGCCTGCCATCCACTACCCGGGATGCTGCTCCGAGGGGGTAGGCAGCGGCAGCCCCTGCCTGCCACACAGCCCCCCTGGGGACAGGGAGGAGCAGGTGCTGTGGGAGCAGTGCTTGGGGCACCAACATGGTCTAGTGTGTGGATGGAAAGGTGATGAACTTGTCAGGCGTAATGTGTCATGCTCCAAGCAGAACTCAGCTGGAGCAATCAGATGCTGACGGAGGGACTGGATCTAAGTCTGAGGGCCCCTGTTTAGAGCTGAGCACTTACACATGTGTTTTGGGGCCTTGGTTTTATCACCTGCTTGGCAATGGCAAAACCTAAAGGGAAAGTCTGCTGTACCGCACTGGCCGTACTTGGCATAAAACATATTTGTGGCCCATATGTCTGACTAGCAAGCCACTCTGGCTACTAGCTATGACACTTTGCTTCCTGTTGCATCCATCCGGGTTGCAGCTTTTGATCTGTGAGCATCCCAAATTAAGAAAGTTTCCCTTGGAAACAGCAGTTGTGGGCAGGCAGAACCTTGTATTAACCATATCCGCCTGTTACCAGACAAGCCATGAGTCAGTTGGTTCTGCAAAACCAGTATAATTTTCCTGGTGGCCTATTTCCAGGTGTGGTGTTGGACATTGCAGGCTTTTGTCTGCACTGCCCTGTTGAGCAGAGCAAGGGGTTCTGCTATCATGGGACCGGGCAATAGAAACTCTTCCAAGAGCCTCTGTCCATTCTTCACCTCCAAACAAACACCAACTCCTTTCTTTCTCTTTTCCACCCTTTCTTGCAGGGCTTAAATCTACTTTGGATGTCAGATTTGTATTTCTTCATAGAAAGCATTTATAAAAATATTATGAACTAAAAGTGGCTGAAAAATAAGGGAATAATGAAGAGAAAAAAGCAGAAAGCAATTACACTATGAGTTCAGAGGTTATTTACCATGGCAAGGAAAGAGTTTCAGCTGGGTAGTTTCAGTCTTCATACTGAACGATTGAATTCTGCTGGCTGCAATGCATCAAGCTTGCTTTCAACTAAATGCGTGAACCACTTCGAAAGTGGGAGCAAGAGAGCTTTGTGCTGCATGAGTAGCACATGCTTTTTTCTTTTTTTTTCTTTCTTTGAAAGGACTATTTCTCTTAATGCCATAAGCTGCTAAGTAAATGTAATTGGGAACATCCAGGCAGCATGAGGATGAGATCTCCCACCCTGCTATTGCCCAACCCTTCATCCAGCCTTGATTTTGAGATCCCTCCAGTCCTTCCTATCTATTGCTTGATGAGAACTTAAACTGAGCACAAACACAGACTTTTGGAGCAATTGGCATACAGCCAGGACTACTGCATCTAAAGCATGCAATTCCTTGTGACTTCTGGAAACCTCTTACATATCCTACCCTCTACAAAGGCAGCTAATTTTGTATATTCAACATATCATTGTGCTAGGCAGTGTTTTTCATGGGATTTGCCTCCTTATCTGCCTAACGAAGGAAGGATTTACATGGCAATCGGCAGGTGTCTCATTCTCCCCCCACACACCGTGCCCATTACCGATGCCAGTGTTTCTCCATGTGGGTGTTTGCCCCCAGGGCGCTGGGCTGGGGGCAGGAGTGTGGGGGGGTCACCCTACATCTCTCCGGCCACGGCACAGCACTGGAGGGTGTTGGAGCGCCATCACCCCACACCTGGCCCAGGGCAATGGGAGTGTCCCTGGGCTCTCATTCAACAGTGTCTCCAACCAGAAAAATGGGTGGGAAAGAAATGCAATAGAGAGGAAGCGAGTGCTTCCTTCCCGAGCGGGATGGTGAGTAAATAAGCTATCTGTAAGGGATTTTGGAAGCCGGGTGAGAAATGCCAGAGGCTAACAACTGGCTTTTACTGCCCCATAGCCTAACGTGAGCTGCATTGTGAGGAAGGCATTTCCCAAGCCAAGCATCCTGTGGTACATGGACAAAGAGAGCCTGACGGAGCAGCCTGGAGGTAATGCAACCTGTCAATAGGCCAATGGCACAGCTGTAGAAGTGGTTCCCAAGAAAAGCGATGGTTGCTCATCCGCTCCTACTGTGGGGAACCTGTAGGTGTCCGTCGGGGTGAAGGGGAGGATCAGACCTCCTCAAAGGGAACAGCTGGAGAACAGCTGTGACCATCGCCCCCTGCAGTTGCCAGGGATGGGAACAATGGCCTGGCATAACTGCGCTGTTCTTGCCAAATCTTTGATAGTGTCTCAGCAAAGAAACCTGCAGCCATATGAGCTTGCTTTTCAGTACCAATATTCTGCACAGCTCTGATTTATAGTTTGGAGTGTAATGAGAGGGTCTTGCAGCTTTTCTTTTTTTTCTTTCCACAAGAAATTTATGTTGAACAAGAAGACTCGCAAGACAGTGACGGTTTCTATCAGCTGAGATCAACGCTGATGTTGCAAGGGACCCACCAGACACATAAGACGTTCTCGTGTGCATGTCTGTTTTCCTTTTTTGGGAATGAAACACGGAATATTTCATCAGAAGAAATATTTGTTTCCCTCGGTAGGTTTTTCATAGGCAGGATGCATCTGAAACGTAAAATGTTAAGAACATTGAACACGTATTCTCTGTTATTTAAAATACTGAAGAAACGCCAAGTGTATGGAAGGTTTTTTTATACAAGTTCATCACACAGCTTGAACTTTCTGGCAGGTTTTTTAGCTCAAGTCTTTGCTCAAGACTCTAAATGAGCTAAGAAACTCCTGCACAAACATAAGATGCTTGCTGTTTATTTAGGCAGTATCTTGCTGCAATTCCGATACCCAAAAATACACTAGCTTAGCCACATGGCACCAGTGAGCTACTATAATCATGTGTTTCTCACTGAGCACTCCTGGCAGAAAGTCTGTGTGTGTGCAACGAAGCTGTCTGGAAAATCAAACCCACAGAATCAGGGATAAAATGTACACCTTCAGTGAAACCTGCAAAAGGCCCCTAAAACAGTTGAAACATTTTGGGCAATGGAGAACCTTCCCTGTAACCTGTACTATAAGAATTAGGTACATGATTAGGGAAGTGTGGGGAAATGCTATCTCAAGTAGTTGGTGAAAGCAGGAGGTGTGGCGGTCCAGAGATTTATGGCGTTTCTGAGGATGCAGGGTGGCCGGCGAGAAGGGCAGACTGATTTCCTTTAGCACCCACTTGTGCATGCCCCGTCTTTAGGTGCAAATGCACAGTTACACCTTTTTTTCTACTCCTTGCTGAACAGATAGTACAACTGAACTGCTGCCCCTTAGCAACCTCCACAGGCACGTCACATGCCGTGGTGACTACTCGCAGCTCAGCTGTGTTCACTTGTGGCTGTGGATATGCTTGTTGGCATGTTTTTCCACAAAGAAAGATTACATCAAAAGCCAGAGCTTACTCCCCTGGAAATATAGCTTCAGAGGGAAGGGAGATAAATGATCATTTTTCTCCAAAATGACTCATTTCACCCGATTTGCAGTTTTGTAGAAATGTATTCAAATCAGAGAGCCGCCAATTAAAGAAGTCTACATTCTTGCCTGCAGGGTATATTAACGCTTAGATAGATCCACTCTGTATAAAAATGTTAATGTATTTAGATGTGACAGAAAGGAAAGAATTAAATTAATTCTCAGCTATGTTCTGTGAAGGTGCCATATTAATGCACAGTATGACACAAACACCAAACCAAATTTTTGGCCTTTATAACAAAAGCCTGACTACTTTGAAGAACTGCTTTCATCTTTTTTTTTCTTCACAGACAATAAGTCTAATGAAGCCTTATCCGAAGCTTTTACCACCATGGCTTCAGAAGGTAGGATAAATTAGAGAACGAAATAACTTGGGTTATGTTAGAGGTGCGTCTATAAATTCCTAAAGCTGTTGCAGAAATTGTTTTGCAAACTTGTTTCTGGATGGGTAGTAAGGCACCCCTTTCTGCAGCTATGACTTCAGAGAAAATACAATAAATATATATTTTGGTGATGTAATCTATCATAATTAAGCCCAAGCATAATTAAACTCCAGCCTTGAGGGGCACTTAATGTTATTTCTGATGCTTCAGTTGGCATTTGAATATAGCTCTTTCAGCACTGTACTGATAATTAAAAATAACAGCCCTACTAATGGTTCTACCTTCTGCTTATGTACACAGCCAAGATCCTCAACACTTTTGCCTAATTAAAGAACTGATGGGATGTTTCTTAATTTGTGTAAATTTGGTAAATCCGCGCTCTGCCCCTGCAAGTTTGTCTTATTATCAGCTTATTACAGACAGATAAATCATTCCCTCCACACCTCAGCTGAAGCGCCTTGGAGATGCCTCTCCTGGGGTGGCTTGCCCTGCTCTGCCCAGGAGACAGCTGCATTTCAGCTGTGGGTTACACGAGTGTGTCAGATAAACGCTGTAGACAAACGGCATGGAAAGAGGTGTGGTTTTCTGTGTAAGCTTGCTTCTGCGAGTGCAGGTTGTGGCAGACCCTGGGGGTTCAGCCAATACCCTGTTGGACTCCAGAAAGCCATCCCAGGTACCAGGGGTCCCTGAGAGGGAGACTTTGTTCTCTGATGGCCTCTGCAAGGTGAGCTCTCAAAGCAGCCCCTGCAGCTTGCATCAGGTCACCACCCTGCTTCTCCTTGCACACTCTGCAGTGAAGTACTGGGAGCTGGGCACACCTCAAGGTGCCCCACTACCCTAGTTTTAGACCCGCTGCATCTTTGGTGAGGGATCCTCTTATGTCAGCCAGCTACTACGAAATCCCTGTTAGCACAGGCGAGGCTAAAATGAAGTGCAAATGGAAGGGCAACACTCAAAACAGCCAAAGGAGGTACAAATGCTTGCAAAAGAAAGCAGCTGGAGAGTTGATAATTATCTACTTATGCTAAGATCCTGTCCGCAGAGGGTCACTCCCTGTCCAACACCCTCCCAACGTGCCTGACCACACAGAGGTACTTGGGCTGCCTTCCCAGGTATGTTTTTCTAATGGGGTGTGCAAGCTTTCATGGTTCACCTCCTTCATGGAGCCCTGGGGGAGATTTAATCCTTCCTCCTAACCAACTCAGGGGGTACTTTGCCTCACCTCCTGGGCAAAAAAAGTGAGACAACTCTTACTCAGGATGTAAATACTGCTTGGGCAGGAATAAATCCCTCTCTCTCCCCTTCTTTGAGGACTCGGTGAGCACTTTTCAGTGCAAAGTGTCCCTGAAATTTCCTGTCAGGTTGCAGTCTCTGAAATGCCTCATGGATGGAGCTATGCAGGTGCCACCACCAGGTCATATATGTTATTTCAACCTGCATGTCAGTAAGGTGCCTCTGTTTGTATGGGATAAAACCATGTAACTCACTTCTGCTTTTTGAGTTGAGGTGCAGACTGGAGGTGCCCGGGGTTCCAAACCTTTTTACCCCAAACCTCTGTTTCCCTAGGGATTTCACAGCACAGTTACCTCAGGTGCTTCTTTTTTCTTGCTGGACCACTTGGTTGGGTTGTGCATTGAAAGATTATTTGGAAATTAAGTGTGATGCACTCTCTCTCACTCTTGAACCCTTGAATGACCCACTTTTCTAAAGCAGAATAAACACCTTTCTCACCCTGAGTAAAAGTGTTTGCTTTGATTTGTTACAGACCTTGGAAATTCAGCACTTCCATCAGCTGTCATGACTACCTCAGGTAAGGGGGGTGGGGGGGAAGCCTTCTTTCTTACTCAGTCAATAGATGTATGATCTCTGCTTGACCTGTGCTTAAATGTCACGTACACAGAGCCAGAGGCGTGCCAGGGAAAGGTCAGTGCGCTCTGGTATCGATGGTACCTGTGTGCTGCTGGATGGGAATTTGCGAGCTATGAAGTTACCCAAGAAGAGATCTGACACAAATCCTGTTAAAACTGTCATGTTAGGACAGCATGTAAAATGGCGTGCTGAATATCACATATTATTCTTATGCCTTTTTACAAAATGGAATAAAAATGCCTATACAACTATGAATAAATTTGTCCTATTATGACAGTGAGGTGCATGTGATGATAGAAAAGTTAAAAATACCACTTTTCCTTGACCCAATAGTAGCGCATCATTCACATTCAATAATGATATAAGATAAATACCACTGCTTTACCAGAGCATGCATATGGATAACTATGTAAAACTACCTTCAGCAATTGAGAGGAAAACCCGCAAGAGCAGGCGATCTCCTGGGCTTATACAGCTGCTGCGTGTTGTCAGAACCATTTCTGGTAAGGCTCTGGCTAGGCGGGGGAGCACCACCATCAAGTGCATAATCCACTCCACAGCAGTTAAAATGAACCCAGTGTATAAAAACGTAAATAAGTAAGGCACACAGCTAGCCCATGTGAAAGTGTCTGCATTAATAAAGTCAACCGTCTCTGATTGCCCCTTGAATTTGTGGGATGTGTTTTGAGCATTTAACCTTAACTCTGACAGTGGGATTTCTGCAGCGGAGTCCGCATTAACCCAACAGCTACTGCAAGCATTTTGATCCAGGTTGTTTTATGATTTATTAATATTATTTTTAAAAGACCCTATCAACTAAATGTGATACCGTGTAATCTGTTTGTCTTTAGAGCATCAGTCAACATCTTTGGCATCTCTAGATTTCACAAGTCAAGCAAGCTTGGCTCCTGCTTCCACGACACAAGGTAATCAATTCAGCCAAAATGTCTTCTCTATTGCTTCAAGAACATAGGAGAAAGATAGATACATAAACACAATAACCATCTTGAATTCTTTGTAGCAATTTAATGTCCACTGAAGCCCTTTTCCTAGTGCATTATACACTAGGAAGTCCACAGTTCAAAAATAAATATATGAGAAAATGCTGTCTTGATTTCATCTTTTTTAATGCTCCGTTCAGGATATATGCATTAATTTCAGCAAGTGAATAGACATCGAGTATATATTTTTACAATCTTATTCCTTGTATCTCTTTAATTAAACATCATACAAAAATAGAATGACATTAGAGCTAGAAAAAGTGCAACCCAAATATTGGATCACAGGAGTACAAATACAAAACACCGATAAACAAAATATTTACAGCAGATGACTCAACTCAGTGATTTCTTCTCCGAGCTGGTGACACTGAGGCCAGTGGAGGACAGCGTGACTCACTTGGAAGGGTTTAACCTTGCTTCCCAGGGGAGAGGTACGTGCACTAGCAGCTGGCACGCATTTGACAGCATGGCAGCAGCCTGAATCGAAAGCAGGTGAAGCTGTGAACGTCCTGCCTACTGATCCCAAAATAAAGGGTTGATGCCCACCAGTCCCAGCAGAGTGCATTTTCTCGCAGCACAGCCTGTCTGCAAACACTTTTTTCTTTAAAGTCTCTTTCCATTTTGAAGCCCAGCTGTTGATCCCTGTAGGACTGCTAGGTTTTAAGCAGCAGTTAGAAGGGAGTTGGGGCTGCCCTCACTGGCAGCAAGGTGTGCACTCACTGCTATGTGGCCTGAATAAATGCAGGCATGGCACATGCTCCTATTTCAGAGACAAAACAGCCCGTGTGAAGCGGCAGCACAGGGAAGAGGCAATGTGGCAAGTCGTTGTCAAATGCTGTCTTCCCCTCCATAGCAGCACCAAGGCTTTGGCTCGGAAATGGTCCACCATTGAGGCAGCAGCCGGCAAGAGTGAATTTGGCCCTTGGTACTTGCAGCAGCCTTGTTCTCCCAAACAAAAAAAAAATCAGTTGCAACAGACTAACTTTCATGAGCCTGTGGGTCATTGAACGTCCTCCTTAAACTGTGTAATTCAATCCTGCAATCTTCACTTAAAGTAACCTATATTACGCTATAGCGGTATTTACCGAGAGATGCGCAAGTAATGCAATGGGCAGTGTGTGGGGTAATACTGGAGGAAGATGCTGAACACAAGGCTTCGTCCTGCCCCAGCAGAGTGCTGTTTGGGAGCTGAACCACTTAATAGAAAGCCCTGGGGCATGAAGAGGCTAGACCGAGATATGCCAGGGCAGGAACACAGATTGCAGTGGCACTGAAATTAAAGTTTGCTGCTTCTCACTCTGCCTTCCCCATCCCCAAAGTAGAGACACTTGCCCAGCTTGGCTGACAGCAGGGCAGCAAAGTGCTTGTCCAAGTGGACTGAAAGCCCTTCTGTCTCAACAAACAATTTCATGACAAAGGCTATAAATACACAATGTGAACAGAGAGGATTCTCCTCGCTGGATTATATATCTTCACTGGTTGAGGAGGTACGAGGTCAAAGTCATAGTGTAAGCCGGAGCTGAGCCATTTCTCTTCTGTCAATAGCCCAGGAAACATCTGCCTTTTAACCAATGCCCCTGACGTGTGGCAGTCGTGGTGTGCCGACCACGGGTTAGTGCTTCTCCTCTCCGGCTCACTGCTGGTTCTCACACCGGTGCCACCATCAGCTTCTTGAGCAGACCCTTTGGGCTGCAGCCAAGTCAGGATGCCAAGTCCAAGCCTGCCATTGTAAAAAGCGGTTTGATTCAGTTTCTGTTATTTTGCAAGTTTTTAATGAAAATCCAAGAGACAGCTGGGAATTGGTAAGAGGGAAGAGTGCACAGATACAGACAGGAGAAGGAGGAGGGGAGCCAAAACCAAGACTGTTAAAACTGCAGCCTGGTCTTTGCTTAGCTTCCACGATAGCTCCATCTCTGAGCCCAGAGATGCTCAGGCTTTGAGAGCTGGGTTACAGCTGCATTTTACCTTCTCAGGTTTGTTCAGATGGCTTAATGGTACTTTTCCAAAAATAAGACAGGTGTTAGGAAAGGTGGACTCTTTTTAGTAAATGTGAAATAGTCCTCTTGGGAAAATAGAGGTCGACTTGCTAACCACCATCTGTCTGTGTTTAAATATCAGATAAATAGCTAGTTCAGCTCTAGAATACTTAGCACTTCAAAAAAAGATTAAAGGAAAATGTTAAATAAGTTGGTATTTGCCACCAGGCATTGCAGGTGTGACTCCCATACACTAACTTCTTCAAAACTTCTCTTTGCTAGTTGGGAAAACAGTTTTGTCTCATTGGAGCTGGTGAAACCCTGTCTAAATTCTGATTTATGTATGTTTGTTCATCGCACCCTATTGGCTTCAGGTCAAAACAAGTGCACTTGGAACTACTGAGTTTCAGCTGAAACTCAGCTGAAATCCAAAAATGCATGCTTAAATGCCCCATATGTTTTCTCAAAGTTTATTCATCCATCTCACCAAACTCCTCTTGAGTTTCTAGCTTGTGACAGACTAGACACAGAATTTTGTGGTGCTTGTCTGAGGGAAGCCAGCATCTCAGGTAGTAGGTTACAACTCGTCAACCTCTTTAGTCAGGAAACAGGGAAGAAAGAGGGAAAAATGAAAAACAAGTGATAAGGTCCTCTACAGCAATTTTTACAAGCTTGTGTGTTTTTCAGCAGGAGCGCTGATTTCTACCGCAGAGACAGAAAGCTATACCAGTGCCACAGCATTCAGTGAGAGTTTGACAACAGCACGTGAGTAGATGATGTGTCTCCTTTGTGTCATAGGACTGTTAACAGGGGAGTTAGGTAGCTAAATGTAGCTAAATACAGGTGCTGCAATTGTGGCACCAACTTAGTGAGTGTTGGGTTGCAAATCTACAGTGATCTGGAGTACCTTGCAAAAAGTACAGCAGCAGGTACTCAGCTCTACGTGGTCCTCAGTTTGTGATGCCTTTGCCAAGAACATTAGCTCTGCGGTGCTTATTTTCAGCTGCTAGTTGATAGTCACCACATTGCCATGCAAAAATTATTACTAAACATGGAAAAGTTGCATCCGAGCAGAGGCCAAAAGTCGGGTGGTGTAATCTGTACCAGCTTTTCAGTACTCCACAGAAGCAATTCCCCTGCTGAGTGGCACTGAGTTAGAAGATAAAGACTTGAGACTTCCAGGCTGTCAAGGATTTGCAACAGCAAAAGAGGAACGAAAAGCGTTTGAGTATCCTGGTTTTATTAGACGTATTTAATTTAATAATATTAAAATTGAGAGAGTTGCTAGGCAAATGTAGTGAGTACTGAGGGTAGTTTATAGATGAAATAAATTACTGGAGAAGCTAAATAAAATCACAGAGCAGCAATGAAATCATGAGATAATGCAGGGCAATAAATGTTGGCTAATAGAACATCGAAAGGCAGCCTCATTAAAGATCAATAAATCAATAAAAAAACCTGGGGGTGGACATTTTTTCACAAACCTTTCCCTTTAGAAAATCTCTGCTCAGCAGCAGAAAGCCAGAAGTGATTTTCTTTTTCAACATCTTGGTTTGTCTTTGTGCTTTCGGAACAGGCAGGACCTGTCAATGCACTTTTGCATTTGTATGGCCGTCGTCTTTTGGCTGAAGCTCAAATGTAGCAGCTGCTTTCCATTTTCTGGATATATTTTTGGCAGCACTCTGGTGCTTATTTACCAGCGTATAACCCACAACCACGCATTTAGACCAAAACCTTGTGACAACATCTAAAGCTTCATGATCCTGCTCTTGCACAGCTTGCTGGTTGCAATTTTTGCTAAAAGCGTGCTGAATTACACTACGATTTGCAGGAGGTACCGTGTGTTGCACCACTCATCGGCTTCCCTACAGCTGTGCCTGCCTGACCACCAGCTGAGCCATGGCCTTCAAGGGTCCTCAGTCCGGCGGCTGTAATTGAGGGCAATTTCAGAGCGCACGGGCACCGGTGTGCCTGCTGAGGCATACCGATGTGTTTCCCTGTGCCCTCCCAGGGCCACCGGGCTCGTACAACAGGGATTACCACTATCCGGTCAATCCTCTGAGGCTCTAACACAAGCCATTTTGCAGATAATAATAAGTAGTGCTCGTCGGCATGCTGTATAGAGCACAGTGTTATGGGATCTCTAAGTGTGTGTCCTTTTTTTTAATATAACTTTTTAAAATGCCAGATCTACCACGCTTACCCCCATAAAATCAAACACCTAATAAACAAGGAGAAAAGAAGAACCTGAATTGAATTAATGTCCAAAACTCTCAGTGAATTTTTAGAGTGCCCTAAAATTGGACTGACTTTGGTAGGGTTTTTTAATACATACATAG